GTCATTCCCTGGGAAATATCCCACCCTCTGATTCCACCACCTCAACCAAGCTTCACAATCATCATTGCTGTGTACAGCATTAAATTGTTTGTTTAAAATTTATACTCTGTGTGTGTGTGTGTGTGTGTGTGTGTGTGTATATATATTTTTTTTTCAACAGACAAAAGACTATAATATATATATGGTGAAAAAAAATTCCCTGGAACCTAACCCCTCCTATTTACATTAATTCTTATGGGGAAATTGGATTCATTTAACATCATTTTGCTTAAAGTTGCATTTTTCAGGAACATAACCACAAAGTTAAGCAAAGTTAAGTTTACCCTTGGTAAACGGTTCCAATGGTTAATTACCCTCACTGTTAAAAAATTAGCACCTTATTTCGAGTCTGAGTTTGTCTAACTTCAATTTCCAGCCACAGGATCTTATTATACCTTTGTCTACTAGACTGAAGAGCCCATTATTATCAAATTTCTGTTCCTCATGTAGAGACTGCGATCAAGTTGCCCCTTAACCTTCTCCTTGTTATACTCAAGGAGCTCAATCTATTTAGCATATCACTATACGGCATGTTTTCCAACCCTTTAATCATTCTCGTGGCTCTCTGAACATTCTCCAATTTATCAACATCCTTCCTGAAATATGACCACCAGAACTGGACATAATATTTTAGAACCGGTTGCACCAGTGCCAAATACAGAAGCAATATAACTAGGGCTGTCAATTAAATGCAGTTAACTCACACGATTAACTAAAAAAAAAAAAGATTAATCACAGTTTTAATTGCACAATTAAACAATAGGATATCAATTGAAATTTATTAAATATTTTGGATGTTTTTCTACATTTTCAAATATATTGATTTCAGTTACAACAAATACAAAGTGCACAGTGTTCACTTTATATTATTATTTTTATTACAAATATTTGCACTGTAAAAATGATAAAAGAAACAGTATTTTTCAATTCACCTCATACAAGTACTGTAGTGCAATCTCTTTATCGTGAAATTGCAATTTACAAATGTAGATTTTTTTTATTACATAACTGCACTCAAAAACAAAACAGTGTAAAACTTTAGAACCTACAAGGCCACTCAGTCCAACTTCTTGTTCAGGCAATTGCTCACATTGTTTACATTTACAGGAGATAATGCTGCCCACTTCTTGTGGACAATGTCACCTGAAAGTGAGAACAGGCGTTTACATGGCACTGTTCTAGCTGGCATTGCAAGGTATTTACATGCCAGATATGGTAAACATTCGTATGCCCTTTCATGCTTCGGCCACCATTCCAGGGGACATGCTTCCATGCTGATGACGCTCATTTAAAGAGAAATGCATTAATTAAATTTGAGATTGAACTCCCTGTAGGAGAATTGTAGGTCTCCTGCTCTGTGTTTTACCAGCATTCTGCAATACATTTCATGTTATAGCAGTCTCGGATGATGACCTAGCACATGTTGTTCGATTTGAGAACACTTTCACTGCAAATCTGACAAAACACAAAGAAGGTACCAATGTGAGTTTTCTAAATATAATGTGACAGGGTCAGGCCAGATGGCTACAGGAGAGTGATAGAAGGCAGATATATTAGCCCCAGGTTAAGTAAGTCCCTTTTCCCTGGATAAGGTAACAGGGAAGGTTCCAGAACAATCAGGAACTTTCTGGAAACAATTAAGGCAGATGGGCTGATTAGAACACCTGCAGCCAATCAAGAAACTGCCAGAATCAATTAAGACAGGCAGGCTAATCAGGGCACCTGGGTTTGAAAAGGAGCTCACTTCAGTTTGTGGTGTGTGTGCGAGGAGCTGGGAGCAAGAGGCACAAAACCTGAGAGTGAAAAGGCATACTATTGGAAGACTGAGAAGTACAAGCATTATTAGTCATCAGGAGGAAGGTTTTGTGGTGAGAATAAAGAAGGTGTTGGGAGGAGACCATGGGGAAGTAGCCCAAGGAGTTGTAGCTGTCACACAGCTGTTACAGGAGCCACTGTAGACAGCTGCAATCCACAGGGCCCTGGGCTGGAACCCGGAGTAGAGGGCGGGCCCATGTTCCCCCTATCCCTCCATCCCCCCCAACTCCCTACTTGATACCAGAGGAGTTGACCTGGACTGTGGATTCACGAAAATGGCCAAACTGAGGGCTGCCGTGAATCTCCGAGGCGAGCAAATCCACCAATAAGCACAACACCCACCAAGGTAGAAGGGAAACTTTGTCACAATAGCTACAGCACTTGACCCAAGGTTTAAAAATCTGGAGTGCCTTCCAAAATCTGAGAGGGATGAGGTGTGGAGCATGCTTTCAGAAGTCTTAAAAGAGCAACACTCTGATGCGGAAACTACAGAACCCGAACCCCAAAAAAGAAAATGAACCTTCTGCTGGAACATCTGACTCAGATGATGAAAATGAACATGCATCAGTCCACTCTGCTTTAGACAGTTATGGAGCAGAACCTGTCATCAGCATGGAAGCGTGTCCTCTGGAATGGTGTTTGAAGCCTGAAGGGACATATGAATCTTTAGTGCATCTGGCATGTAAATATCTTGCAACGCCAGCTACAACAGTGCCATGAGAACACCTGCTCTCACTTTCAGGTGACATTGTAAAAAAGAAGTGCATTATCTCCTGCAAATGTAAACAAACTTGTTTGTCTGAGGGACTGGCTGAACAAGAAGTAGGACTGAGGGGACTTGTAGGCTCTAAAGTTTTACATTGTTTTATTTTTGAATGCAGGTTTCTTCGTACATAATTCTACATTTGTAAGTTCAACTTTTGTGATAAAGCGATTGCACTACAGTACTTGTATTAGGTGAACTGAAAAATACTATTTCTTTTGTACAGAGCACTGTACACTTTGTATTCTGTGTTATAATTGAAATCAGCATATTTGACAATGTAGAAAATATCCCAAATATTTAAATAAATGGTATTGTATTATTGTTTAACAGCTTGAATAATCGCGATTAATTTTTTTAATTGCTTGACAGCCCTAAATATAACTTCCCTGTTCCAACTTGCTATTCCTTTGTTTATACATCCAAGGAGCACATTAACCCTTTTGGTCATATGACTGCAATGGGAGTTTATGTTCAGCTATTATTTACCATGACTCCTAAGTCCGTTTCAGAGTCACTGCTTCTCAGAATAGAGTCCCCCATCCCGTATGTATTTTTTGGATTCTTTTTCGCTAGATGTATGGCTTTATATCATACCATACACATAATAATACACACATTGTGTGCTTGTGCCCAGATCCAGAACACTCTGTATCAGTGACTAGTCCTTTTCCATATCTTTGTGCTATCTGTAAACTTTATTATTAATAATTTTATATGTTCTCCCAGCTCATTGATAAAAATATTAAATAGCTTAGGACCAAGAACGAATCCCAGTGGGACCCCTCTAGAAACACATGATGATTAATGATGATTCCCCGTGTACAATTACATTTTGAGAAGTATCAGCCAGTTTTTAATCCATGTAAGATATGCCATGCTGATTATGTATTGTTCTAGTTTCGTAATAAAAATGTCATGTGGTACCAAGCCAAGTGTCTTACAGAAGTCTAAATTTATTACATCAATACTATTACCTTTATCAAGCAAATTTGTAATCTCATTTTTAAAAAATCAAGTTTGACAAAATCTCTAAAACGTATTATAATCTGTGCTGACGAATGAATTAAGCGGTCTCTCTCTTTCTCTCTCTCTCTCTCTCTCGCAAGTGTCTTTGCAAAATTTATCCTGTGATAAAGATCTGTATCAGGACTGTCAGAATTGCCCTCCGTAATCATGTAGATTTTCATGTAATCCAAAGGTTGGACTCCGTGGAAGAGGCATTTATATTCTTTGTACAGCTGACTGGGACCTGTTTTCCCCTCTCAAAATTTCAATGAGAACGAAAATTTTCCTTTTGTGTTGAAGTTTTTAGTGGAAATTGTTTTGGTTTTCATAACAGCTGAAAACCCTAAACCAAAATTTTACAAATTATCGACAACCAAAAACCAAAAATTTTCATTTTTTTTTACAAAAACCTGGAAAATTTTAAAAATAATTTTTTTCACAAAGATTTTCATTTAGTCAAAAAGCTATTTTATGTTAAAAAAGTATGACAGTTTTTGACTCACTCTAATTATTTTTGACTAATTCTAATTGAGTATGCTTATAAAATTTGCAGATGACACCACGCTGCGAGGGGTTGCAAAAACATGGGAGACAGGATTAGAATTCAAAACGACCTTGACAAATTGGAGAATTGGTCTGAAATTAACAAAAATGAAATTAAATAAAGACAAGTGCAAAGTGCTTCACCTAGGGAGGAAAAATTGAATGCACAACTCTTAAATGGGGAAATAACTGGCTAGGTGATGGTACTGCTGAAAAGGATCCGAAGGTTATAGCAGATCACAAATTGAATACAAGTCAACAATGTGATGCAGGGGTGAGAAAGACTAATATCATTCTGGAGTGTACTAACAGCAGTGTCATATGTAAGACACAGGAGGTAATTGTCCTGCTCTACTTAACACTGGTGAGGCCTCAGCTAGAGGACTGTGTCTAATTCTGGGCACCACACATTAAGACAGTTGTGCAAAAGAGGAGGGAAGAACCTACAAAAATGATAAAAAGTTTAGAAAACCTGACTGCTGAGGAAAGGTAAAAATAATCTTGAGAAAAGAAGACTGAGGGGGACCTGATAACAGTCTTCAACCATGTTAAGGGCTGTTATAAAGAGGATGGTGATCGATGGTCCTCCATGTCAACTGAACATAGGACAAGAAGTAATGGGCTTAACCTACAGCAAGGGAGGTTTAGTTTAGATATTAGGAAATCTAGCCCTGTTTCTATGATTCTTCATGGTGTAGATTGCAGTGACTGCAATATCCACACTCCAACAAACAAACAGACCCCTATGAAACTTGTAAAATAAATTTCTGCTTAGAGAAAACTGAAGTAATTAAATATATCAGATAGGAGAGTACACATTTACTATACATACCTATGATTTTTCCAAACAATTTTTAGAGATCTCTGTCACTTTTTCTGTAGTTCATTTACTGGATGTGAGCCGGTGGTCCCTCTGTGTGTGCCGCCATCTGACTGAAACTTTGCAGTAGAAATCCAGTCTATTGATGTAGATGTAGACAAAGGACATATAACTTGTCACTGGAATGATGGAAAACAAAGGAGACTTCCAAAAATGCTGTATTCTTAGTTCTGGTTTTTTGAAAATAAATAAATAAAAATGGGGGGGTTACACAATAGAACTTTCCTTACAATCTTCTTTACCCTCCTAGCTGCCATGGGCATGTCATCTGACTTACCAGATGCAGCATCAGAGAAAAAAGAGAGAACAAACCCAAAATTTATGCACAAAAGAGGGAGGAGGAAGGGGAGGAAAAGTGACCTCCGTATACCGGAAACCCAAAAGAGTATGTGTTAGGAAAATAATACCACAAAAAAGCAATGAAGAAATGTTTCTTCCCATACCAGAACAGCATAAATAAGTAACAGTTATGAAAAATGGCTGTACAGAAAAGCTCTTAGATTTATTTAAAATAAGAAAGAAAAAGCCAGTTGGATGCATTTTTTTAATTACAAACTTTGCTTTCAAACCAGTTACAAATTGAATCACAGAACAGATTCTGCTTTTCCAGACACATACACCTTGTTTCTAATCAGGGTTTGTCCTCCACACTTTGAAGCTCATTGATTTGTATCTTCATTTTGTGCAATCTAAAATAATAAAGATCCAGATTCCCAAAGGTATTTAAGTGCTCAGCTCTCACTGAAATCAATGAAAACTAAGTACCTGAATACCTTTGGGGATCTGAGCCTAAATAAATGGTTTTCAATTAAAAAAAATGTCATTATGTTACTTTCTCCTTTGGACCCTGTCGAAAGCGGTGACCCTGATCCTCAACTGCATTAGGGCAGCTTTGTGCCTAAAGCTTTTTTACCTAGTCCCTGGGTTTCCCTTGCATAAGGGGATGCTGAAGTGGTTTAGAGCCTCAGTAACAGCGTTTATATCTTTTCTGCCTCCCTGGAGTCAGTTCAGAGGATATGGGCAGGGGAAAGGACACCGGCATGCCCTGATACCTTAGTAATCTCTACCCCAATGACCCTTTGGCAGTACTGGATTTACCATGGCACGACTGGCGCCAGGCCCACGGTCCAAAGGGGCCCCAGCCTGGCCTGCTCTTCTCCATCCCCTGTTCTCTCCTGCGGGGGCAGAAGCTTGGTGCTCCCAGCTCCTGGGGCTCCTGCTGCAGCAGGGCAGGCTCCACCAGCAGCCAAGCTCTTCTCACGCCTCTTCTCCCAGTGTGCCACGTTCCCACCCCTCCCTCTCCCAGCCGGCAAATAGCTGTTTGCCAGCGCAAGGGAGGGGGAGGAGTGGAGCCGCAGTGTGCTCGCCACTCAGGGGAGGAGGCGGAAATGAGGCAGGGGCAGGGCCTTGGGGAAGGGGGTGGAATCGGGGCATGCCCCCTCCAGCCCCCTGCTGTGAGCGGCTCAGGGCAGGAGGCTGGGAGCACCCCCACGACTCCAGCCCACAACCCCACAATGCCAGCCCTTACTCCTGCACCCGCCACACATACCCAGCCCTCCCATGAACCCAGACCTGACTCCTGCATCCCCCACACATACCCAGTCCCCCCACACCCGATGCCCTTACTCCTGCACCCCCAACATCTCCACCCCCACCACCAAACGGGAGCTCCTGCACCCCCCCCCCACAATTCCCACCTGCACCTCTCGCACCAAATGGGAGCTGCCCCAGGTAAGTGCTCCACACCCCAACCTCCTGCCCCAACCCTGAGCCCCCTCCCTCACCCTAACTCCTGGCCAGACCCTGCACCCCAACCTGCTCCTGCACCCTAACTCCCTCCCAGACCCTGCACCTCCAGCCCTGTGCCCAGTGCTCAGTGCACTCCCACCCTCAGCTCAGTGCAGAGAGAGATGAAGAGAATGGGCTAAAACCAGGGAGAAGGTAGGTACCTGCTCTATGTGGGCAGGGGCAGGGGGGGGGATCCTGTTTACCCCCTCCCCAGCCCTGCTGCGCTTGAAGTTTACCCCCAGCCCCTCCCTTGCTCCAGGGACCAACCCTAGCTCCCGCCCCACTGTGCTTTTGCCCCAGGCCCCTGCCTTGCTCCAGTCAACAGGGACTAATCCTCCCCCCATTCCCTAATGTGCTTATCTTGCCCCTGGCCCCTGCCTCGCTCCAGCTGGGGACCAATCCTTCGCCCGCTCTGTCACGAGTCCCGGGGCGATGCTCTGGAACTGCTCCCTATGAAGCCAGTCAGGACTCTGGGGAAGTCTCCTTTCTGTGAGCAGCCTGTCTTCAGGACACAAAGCTCACACAGCTTCCACCTTCCTGAGTCTGACCTCGGAGCATTCAGCATCCTCTGCCCCTCCGTGCACTTCCCACAGCAAGTCCACTCAGGCGGGGCTCCTGGGGAAGCCAGAGGGTCCTGCACCCCAACTTCGCAGTCAGACGTGACTCTCAGCCAGCCAGTAAAACAGAAGGTTTATTAGACGACAGGAACATGGTCTAAAACAGAGCTTGCAGGTGCAGAGAACGGGACCCCTCAGCTGGGTCCATTTTGGGGGGCAGTGAGCCAGACAACCACGTCTGCACTTCACTCCATATCCCAGCCAGCCCCAAACTGAAACTCCCTCCAGCCCCTCCTCCTCTGGGCTTTGTCCCTTTCTCGGGCCAGGAGGTCACCTGATTCCTTTGTTCTCCAACCCTTTAGCTCTCACCTTGCAGGGGGGAAGGGCCAGGCCATCAGTTGCCAGGAAACAGGGTTTTGGCCATTCTCTGTGTCCAGACCCCTGCACACACCTGCCCTCTAGGGCTCTGCAACGATCATACACCCTTATCCCACCCCCTACATACTTAAGAACTGCCTAGGGGAAACTGAGGCACCCCCACACTATTCAGAGGAAACATGAAGAACAGGCCTGCTTCGTCACATCCCCCCATACCCTGCTGTCAGGGTGGATACAAATCAATGATTTTTTTAAAAAAATTTAAAAATCGGATTTTTTTAACTTAAATTGGATTTGTGAGGGGGAAAAACCTATCTAAAGATAGTTTTAATTAAGATACATTATATCTTATCATGGAATAGGGATTATAAATTCTAATTCTATAGTATGAGGCAATATATTGATGTAATGTTTAAGAAAAGTTTTGTAAATGAGTTCTAATAGTTCATGGATTAGAGACCCAATTTTATGGGGTTCCACGGGCTTCTGTATAGATTATTTAGGTTAATCTTTCTATCTACCCAATGGGACGCAGTGCTCAGTCTAGAAGACACCATCAGGGATGCTTAATTTTGCAGTTCTCAGACTGTGGGTTTGTGTCTCTAGCGGTAACATGCTTGTTAACAGCAAAACTGTTTTTAAATAAATAAATAAATAATATATAGAGGTGAGAAATAACAGACCTCAACTCTATTGTCCCTCTGCAAATTTGTGTTCACAGAGTCAATCCTTTATCTCTCTCTAAAAGTGAAAAGTTTCAAAAAGTTCAATGAATAGAAGATTGTTGGGGGCAGATCTGGACAAGGAGAAGAAGTCTGGAGATAAATGTGAGAAGGGAGGGACATATGCTTTTTTGTTAAAATATTATGTTTGCTGTTGAAGAAAAAAATCCAGAATACTTAACGTTGTTGTATTAGTTAAATAAAACAATTTAAATGTCTGTCTGGTGATGTTCTCCTAATACAGCATGGCAAAAAAATCCTCCAAATATTAATGATTAACCTGTTCAATTGGAGATAGTTCACCTCCCAATGACTTCATAAATATCTGCTTCAATTATCTTTGGTAAATGCAATAACCAAACAATCATTAATTTTCTGATATAGCTGTAAAACTCATCTGAAAAGTTTTCAAAATAAATCACTGTTTAAAAAAGTATAGTGTGTACCTTCTAAAAATGAACCCTACATCTATCTCTGAGTTTTGAAGAATATGTATTAAGGTTATAACAACCAACAAGAACTCACTTTTATGTAGAAAACCATGATTAAATCGAGTCTTCCTGACTCGTGATTTAACTCATGATTTAAATCAAATCCACCCTGCCCGCTGTGCTCTTGCCCCTGACCCCTTCATTCCCCAGGGGGGCCCACAAATATGTTTGGTGCCGGGCCCACAAAAAGTTAATCCGGCCCTGCCCTTTGGTGTAACGGCATTCAGCACAATTTAGAGTAAACCGCAAGTTCCTTTAAATTATGCTAGAAAACTGAAGGAGAAATCAAACGAGGCTTGAAAACAGCAAGAAAAAATTGCAAGAAGAACCATAATAAAATCTTATAATAAGATTCTTTGTCACTCATTCTCAGTCTAGAAATTTTAGAGATGCTTCCCCTACCCCATTCATCAGTCAGACTTCTGAAGCTTGACCTATTAGTCTTCACTCCCAGGGAGCCTCTTAGCTAACTACAGTACTAACCCCTTCTGTCCATTCCTCAGATGACCCTTGGATTTCATTTCCACTCTAAGCAAAGGATCCAACCTTACTACCCAACTGGCTTTTCTTTTTCCTCTGGAGAACTTTTAAAATCGGCATGCTATGGGTTTCCGTAGCAACTGGTATTCAGTCAGCGTAATGTTTTCTATCATATGCCCTTTGTATGCCACAATGGATTCTCAGATTTAAAATCCGAACAATACTCTTTTTCCTTCTGTGGCTCCCAAGACACCTGGTCTTTTATTCTGTGATCTTTATGTCCCAGAATCCTTTGTGATCCATATCCCAGAATCCTTTGTGTTCTATATCTCAGAATCCTTTGTGCTGTTTCAGGGGGAAAAATGCTGTACAAAATAATGTTTTGCTTTAAAGCCATTATGCACATTATGCCAAAAGGACATATTTACTCTGAAGTCAACAGGGTTTCTCATGTGAATGAGGTCTACCCATGTGAGTAGCGGTTTGCATGTTGGAGCCCTCAATCCATATAATTTTGATATAGTTACAATCATCAAAAATATAAAAGTATCATTTATACATTGTTACAGAAAATTCCGTAAATTATACATTCCCCAATGCTGAAGCGATTGAGGCGTATGTGTGTGAGAGATAGAGCAGTGAGAGAAGCCAGCAAACCACAATTAAGGCTGTGATTCTGTCACAGAAGTTGCGGATGTCACAGATTCCATGACTTTCCGCGACCTCCGTGACTTTCGCAGCTGCAATGGCCAGTGCGTCTGATCCCTAGGGCCAGCTTCTCGGGCACCCTGCAGCCAGCCGCACCAAGCGCTGCTGGAGTGGCCCCGGGGCCAGCCGCACCGGCCGCT